AATGGGGAGATGAATGGTGACTGAGGGAGACTTGGGGTGGTGGACACACAGTGCAATATACAGATGATGTGTTACAGAATCATACACCTGACACCTATATAATTTTATCAACCAATGTCACCCCAATAAATTCAATAAATATTAAAAAAGAAAGAGGAAGAAACAGCCTTTAAAACAAAAACACAGCTAACTCAGTACACTGACCATTTGGTTCTCCTTTAAGTAGCAATTTATGTAGCAAACTCGGGTTATAAACTCTATGTCCCAAGTCAAATAGTTAAATAAATTTTTGACTAAAATTCTATGTCAAGAACATATTATTAGATAAATGATAGTACATGTTAAAGAGTTCATCAGAGTGATTTGTAGATACCAAAATAACTATGCCTTGATAGTTATTCTTTCTTAATTTATATTTCCTCTCTCTAAACCTAGCCTGCAGATTTTTTTCTAGTGGAATATAGTATAGGGTAGTATACATAGTATGTATTTCATGGAGAGAGTATGGAATGTAGTATGCGGTATAGAGTATTTTACTTAAACCTCCCTTTCTAATTCATTATTGAAGAACCCTTGTTATTCCACAGGATACGCCCACAGAACTTACAGTTTCCCAGTTTTAGAACACAGTTGTAGGTACATCTGTGTGTACTCGTGTGTTGTGGATGAGGTGTTGGTTATTCTTTCAAGGCCAAATTCACTGTTTAGTAAATGAATTTTAGCATCTCTTTAGTGCATAGTGGGACATTCTAGACTGAGTGCTACTGTCATTTAAGTCCGTTGTTTTTCTTGTCTTCAGACAGATGTATTTTTGAACCTTTTAAATCGGTTCCTATTTTGGCCTAAGACTATATCAGAAAACATTTTTGAAGTCCGTTACCATCGTCTGTGTAATTAAAGTGATATGGCACATTCTCCCATCACAGTCTTAGCTAAAATACCCACATGTCTTCAATAATCAACTCTATTATATGTGGAGTTGAGACATTTTTTAAAGCTTCACTTTGCCTTTATAAATATTTAATCAAATAATATCCACAGGAACCTACCAGTTTATCCTGTGGATGGTCACACACAAAACACCCAACAGGGGTGTCATTCAAGGTCCTAGCAGGAGACAGGTAGCACCCTCGCACGGGATAAATGGGAGTTGAAGAAAGGCACTATTTATGCATTTGTGGCAACAGGATGAAACCAGCAAGGTCAGGAAAGCAGCCCTGGAAAAGTAAGTGAGAATTTACTCCTACCCGAAGGTGCAAGGAGAGAGCAGTTACCAGAATCTTAGGGAGAGCTGGGCCACGAAGGTGAGTTTCCTGGAGAAGGGGAGCCACTGCCAACGTGTGGCCTGGAAGGGGGAGAGCGGAGGGGATGATGCCCTGAACTCCCTCGGTCATCCTCCTGTCTCTTGTGCATGTCTCCCATTGGTTGGACCCAGCCAGAAACCAAGGGACAAGGCAGCCCATTGGGTGCAGTCCAAGAGGTCTGCCTCCTGGGCCTGAGCCAGGGGACAGCGGTGGAGGGCAGACCTGGAGGGGCGGACAGAGAGCACAGCACAGGTGGTGCAGAAGAGAGCAAACTGAATGCTGCATTTCTCCACTGCTCCCACCTCCCGGAAATGCTCACTCAGGGAGAAGTGATGATACATACCGGAGTTCCTTGTCTGTCTGGGAAAACGAATCAGATACTGGAGTTCCTTGTCTGTCTGGGAAAACGAATCAGAAACTTCTGGCTAAGGTGACCAACTCTTCCCTTTCCTGCTTCTTATGCTCATGTTCATCTCATGCCCATGTGTTCTAGAAAGGAGAGCGCAGCTCTTAGGTGACGTAAGAACACCACAGACGCCTAGAAGTTAGAGTGTTGTTTGGAAAACACCTTGAAATAATGATACATTGAATTGAACCCCATCAATTACAATGATTTTATAGCTAAAAGCACGGGTGTTTGATTAAGCAGTGTAAAATGTTAAGCACGGGTCTCTGTCCTTATATAATCAGCAATTTCTTATTTTATTTGTTGGTGTTTTGTTCATCTTATGTGTAAGAATGGTGACTGCTGATGTTTTAGGTGAAATACGTGAGAGAACCGGGAATTTGGAAAGGACTCTTATCGTTTTATTTTCTCAGCAGGACACAATATTCTGCAGGAGAGTAGTTGGAGAGCTCCCAGAATAGAGGAAAACGTCATTTCCTGACCCAAATTCTAACCAGAGAGGCAGGACAAAACAAAATCTCTCCCCCGCCCCCCACCCACACTCAAACATGCATGGAATTCATCAAAGCGTGTACAGAGAAACCCTAACTAACTGATCCCTCAATGAAACGTGTTACAGCCGTCAAACACAGGTCAATTTATGTTGATAGCAAGGATTTCATCTTAAAAAGCACCGTCGAAGAAAGTCTGGATTGCAGGATTGGATATGGAGTCCACCTTCCTAACAGGTCACATCTCCTGCCTGTAATCATCATTGACCTTCCAAGTAATGCTCCTGAAACCCTCCAACTCCCAAATCAGCCACAGAAACCACATCAGACTACGTGTATCAACATACAGAGCTGGCGTACAGTAGTGCTTGCCACGTGTCTGCAGTTTGAACCCCTATAAATACAGACTGCAGCCCAGAGGTAATCTGAGCAGTCTCAGGGTAGAAAAAATACAAATATTACATGGGGGAGGGGGTGGTAACTGGAAGGGGTACATGGAGAGGTTCTGGGTGCTAGCAGGAGATAGGTGGAGAACATGTGGGGCTCTGGCCACACTGTTCCATTTGTATGAAGGTAAAATGGGCATGCTCCATTTGTGCAAACCAACAGGCTATACAGTTGTGATATGTGGTTTTCTTTGCACATGTTACGCTTCAGTCCAAAGTTTTATAGAATGTGGCAAAAGTAGGTTTATAGTTGTTCATATGCAAATAATACCGTAATTAATAAATAATAATGCAAGAATAAATTCTGTGTTTGGGTTGCTCACAACCGTAAACGTCCTTTTGCCCCACCTTGTATAATCTACACATGTATGTGTGTGTGTGTGTGTGTACACACTAATCACTAATCCTGGTACTTACTTATAACGTAGGATGTGGCTACCCTCTTGTCCAGATAGTTTTGGTTTCTCTCCTGGATATAGGAGACAGCAGTGTGAACAGCTCAGAAGTAAATGCATAGACGTTAAAAAAAGATAAATGTTCATGAGTGTTAGGGTTTAATAGTCCAGTGCATTTAGATTAATAGCCCTGAAAACAGAGTTCAGTGATTGAGAGTCTTACTGGTGACTTTATACCTCAAAAGCAATTAAATTATGTAATGTATACTGTTGCTAAGGCTGGGGAAGTTTTAGAAACCATTCACCAAAATCAGTTAAACAAGTCACTGCTCAAAGGTGAACGTATTGTAAAATTGTGTTATGCAATGATGAAAAACAGATATAATTGAACTGCCCTTGAGGGAGGTTCTTTTGGTTAGGCTTTGTTTAATTAGGAATTCCATTTAAATAAGTCACTACATTTCCAAGTCTTTCCATATGACCAAAGTTTAACTGCTATGTGAGGTCATCTACAAAGTAGATTGTGACTGTAAAGAAACATTACCCATTAATGGCTACACAAATGCGGAAATAGTTTGGTGTGATCAGAACCAGGTAGGCTAAAACAGTAGACTGTCGTCTGATTTAATCCCCACACTTTACAGTGCAGGACATTTCGGCTCAGAGAGGTTGAACTGACTTCCCAAAGGTACATCGCTAACTTACGGTTAATTTGCAACCAGAGCTGAAGTATCTCCATTTGCTGATCTGTCCACCTTCACTCAGCCCAGATCTCCAAGGAGAGGTGTGGGAATCAAGCTAACTTGGGTTTGCATTGGTTTACCGTTTGGATTTGCTAGTTGGGTGTGACCCTGGGCCCCAGTGACAGTTCTCTCCTGTGAAAAATATTGCCTGGGCCTTAATTCAGAGGTTCAGGCACTAAGGTGCTGCGTGGCAAGTATCCTGGGAAAACAACTTTCTAAAACTGAACTGAGGCCGGTGCCTGACTGGAAGGTTCCTTGGCCTCTCCCTTACAAAGGAGATGGAGAAGAGGGAGAGCCTCCATGGGAGAGGGCGAGACCTTCCCGGGAAGGGCGGGGGGGGGGGAGGGGGGGGCTGGCCTTTCAGCCTCTGGGCCTGAATGCGTAGTGGAATTGTGCTTTCCCCCTGCTTATAGGAGTGCCCTTCACCTGTGGGACCTGTAGGGATGATGGGTGTGGCATTTAGATGTCATCTCTTTTTTTAATGGCAAGTCTAAACACACTGAGTGTGTCTGTACCCCCAAATGTCATTGAATCCTGGAGCCTAATTATGGGCTTTAGTTAATGCTGTTTGCACCTGTGTGTAAACACCAGCCATCCATGGAGATAGTATAGGACTCACCTCAAAAGGTTATTATGTGAATGAAAAGAGATAATGTATAAAAGTGGGTGGTAAGATGCTTGGCACACATTACAGAAGTTGTGCACAATGATTGTTATTCAACTACAACACGACAATGGACTTGACATTGATGTCCAGGAGCCTTGACCATTGTCTGGGTTAGACAGGTTTCTCTTTATAGAGTGTGTTACCTAAAAATAATGGCTTTAGTGAAAGCACTAGGCAACAGAAAACAGTTGATAAAGTACTTATGATTTAGGAATTGGACCTAGTTGGGACTCCTGGAGTATTGTTTTGTGGAGAGACAAATACATAGTTGAATCTTACTTTTTTCCACCCTGGTCTTTGGATCAGAAATCCTAAGACCTAGCTCCTGCTCCACTACTTCATAAAAAAGTGTCAGTGAGCAAATGATCAGACCACTTGGAGCCTCGGTTTCCTCATCGTGAAAACGAGGTTGATGATGATACCTACTCCTGGGGTGGTTGCGGAGCTCAAGTGGGAGAAAGTAAGTGCACACGAAGAGGCAAAAAAAATGTAGTTGGAGGTGGACTGAAGAGTGGAAACCTTAAGGAGCTTGTTTACCTCTTTTCCAGGTTTCACCTCGCTGCTACCAAAGGACACTTGGAATGCCTCAGGGTCATGATTGCGCACGGTGTGGATGTGACAGCCCAAGACACCGCCGGTATGTGGTCTTGCTCTCTTAGGTCAACAGGCCAGCGCAGAGTAGGTGTCACAGAGGTGATTCACCTTGATCACCTCCAGTGACTCGGCTCTGACGTGGTTTCATCATTTGTGACTTTACAGGTGTGTTTATCTTAGATGTGGTTACTTAAGTAGACACTGCATGCTTCTTATCCCCCATTTAAGAAATACTATTTTCCAAAATTACATGTAGGGACCAAGCAGTGTTCCCTACTGTTTGTTTTTATGACTCGTGGTAGGAGGTGACAAATGGAATGAGTTGTTTGGAAGCTCATTTCGTCCACTGAGGTGAGCGCTGTGGGCAGAGGCCGCGACCTCGTCTGAACCGGCGTGCGTGGGCCTCACCCTTACTGGTCTCTGGCCCGCGTCACCTGGGAACTTGGAAGAAAGGTAGAGGGTGAGGCAGGAGAGCAGGAATGGAGGGAAATGAAGGGATAAACAGTACACCCCTATGTGTGTGTATATATATATATACACACACACACACATATATGTATACACACACACACACACACCCCAGGCTCTAGCTCTGAAATTCAGACTCCATTGTCTGGAGGTTGCCAGCCAACTGGTATGATTTTTAAGTTCCCCAGGTGATTCTAATTGACAAATGATGAACAAAGCAAATGCAGGGGAAAGCGTCTTTCACGAGCACTGTTCTACTGGAAAGAGCCCCTGGGATTCAGCCCCGGGGGCCACACCAGAGGATCAAAGCTACTGTGTGTTTCTCTGTTGTACTTGAAAAGCTTTGCCTTCAAATAAGGCTTTTGTTAGTTTTGACTAGAACATAAAATCAGTCTAACTCTATAGTTTTTCATTAATCCATAGTAGATCCCTTTCTTCCCCCCCAAAATACTGGCCTCTTCTGAATAGTGGGGGGGGGGGGGTCAGTCAGGAATTACGAGAGCTATTACTCAAAATATGGTTGGAAAACTGTTTCAGACTTGTTTTTGAAAAGTCTGTGGTGCTTTTTTGTTGTTGTTCATTTAAATATCCTCAGTGGTTGGGAATCTTTATTCTTTTTGAATAAGTGTGTTTTTTTAGGATGGGCCAAGAGCTGCTTGAAGTCAAGTCAGGTAAATGCGCAGGGTGTGGTTGAAGTAACCGAACGGGCCCCTGAGCAGAGCCGCCAAAAGCTCCCAAAACCGTCCAAGAATTGGCAAACCCAGGAGAGGAACAAATGGGTCCCTTCAGTGACCACCTGGAGGGAAATACTAGTGTGTGTTGTTCTCAGTGAAGTCATCTTTTTTTTTTTTTTTTTATCCTCACCCGAGGACATAGAGAGAGAGAGAGAGAGAGAAACATCCACGTGAAAGGGACACATCGAGTGGCCGCCACCCGCACGACCAACCAGGGCCGGGGACAAACTGCAACCGAGGTACATGCCCTTAGCAGGAACTGAACCCGGGTCTCTCTGGTCTGGACCACAGGCCGACGCTCTAACTGCTGAGCCAAACCGGCGAGGGCTTCCCTATCTTTTTATTACAGGGAAACTACGTTTCTCTGATTTGTGCTCATTGTAGAAAATTTGGGAGATACGGAAAACTAGAAAGAAGATGACCATCACCTCTACTGCTACCAAGAAGAAACACATCTTATTGTTTCTTCCAGATATTTCCTGGCACATTTTTGCACAGCTGAAATCACATTATACAATAAACTCAGCATCCTGCCCCCCACTCCCTTAAAAAAAATATTTTACCAGTTTTATTTCCTTGATTCAAAGCCCTCGAGAAGCATAGGGTTTCGTTTGTAAGTTTGGGTCGAGTCTGTATCTGCCACCAGAGCCCTGCCCCAGTCCGAGAGCATGCTCGCCCGCGCACCTCACACTTCCTGCCCCCTTGGGGGACGCGGCCCTCCACGGAGCCACACTGGAGGGGACACGGCACACCCATCCCGGATGACTCTCTGGGCCGGTCCCTGGGAACTGCCAGCGTCCATTGTTTTTCATACCCAGTGAAATTGGTGGGCTTCGTGGCATCTGTGGCCCCAGGACATTGCCCGGACGTTCCCCGAGTAGAGATTGTCTCCGAGCTGCCGATCACTTCCTTGTCGCCCAGCATTTTTAGCAGTGACTTCCGCACTTTGGTCCTGGGCTCATTGTTTTACTTTAGTCTGAAGGAGGCACTGACTTATCATGGCTCCTTGAGGGCATGCAGACAGCACAAGAACAAAAGAAGGAAGGGCTGTGGGCAAACGTGCGTGGACGTCTGCTGTGTTATCTAGAGCAGCAAACAAGACGAATGTGACGGTGTTTACTGCCCATGCCCCATCCTTCCTGTGGGCCGCGATGCCTGCCCCATCTGTCCCTCGGGAAAGCTTATCAGAGTCCGAGAGAAGGACAAGGACATTAGTCACTGTGCCTTCAGTGTCCATCATTAATCCGAAACATTTTTTTATGGTGGTTAAAGTATAAATTAAATGGCTCAGCTCTTCTAGGAGTTGTCTTTTCAGTAAACCTGCCTTCCGTGTTGCAGTATTGTCACGGAGACACAGGCGTCTTTCATCCCAACACCCACTGAGAACTGCTAACAGAAATCTGTTACCATAAATCACAGTGTCCTGTAGAGTCTGAAAAAGCCTGCCTTCTCGAGAGATCACACTGACCCTTTTCTGACCACCCCATAGACTTTGTGAATAAAAAGAATAAAAAGGTACATTTTCCTACTTTTTCACCTGCTTGCTGGACTGAAATTGGAGAAGCAAAGGGTTTTTAGCATCCGTTTTTTTCTTTTTAACAACCATCCTTCCACGTGAAATGCTTAGAAGTCTGACGGGAGAATTTTTATAGATGTTTTGCAAACAATCTTCAGGCCTTGGGTATGGTTACACTGCAGCATCAACAATCGGATCGTCTCGATGGCCTGTGAGGCTCGGGAGGTGGCGTGTGGGCATCTCGGGGTGCCCGGCACTCGGCGAGGGCTCACTGCTGTCGGCTCCCACGTTGACAGGGTTACTGCTGCTGCACCCAGGTCCCCTTCGTTCTCTTTTACACGGGAGGCTTTTTAAAAGGTTTCACAGCTTCACAGAAAAGTGATTGACAAGCACCAAGGCAGCTGCTGTCATTGTACAGATCAGAAAAACAAAACCGAAAGACTTGCAGAAGCTCATGACGTATGTTTTCGGTTTAGGGGATTTTCCCCCATTTTTGTTTGTTTTCATAATCCTCACCTGAGGATATTTTTTCATTGATTTATATATTTTTTAGTTTGTTTGTTTTTTTAGAGAGAGAGGGAGGGAGGGAGGGATAGAGAAAGAGAGAGAGAGAAACATAGATGTGAGAGAGGCACATTGATTGGTTGCCTCCTGCACAACCCCGCCCGGGACCAGGATCAAATCTGAAACCCAAGTACGTGCCCTTGACTGGGAAACGAATCTGCAGTCCTTCAGTGTGTGGGCCACTTGGGCAGGCACTCTAACCACTGAGCCACACCAACCAGGGTTCCCCTGTTTCTTAATGGTTTGTTTTCCAAGTAGCATCACAGGCTACAGTATCCGCTGGGAAAGTTGGCTCCAGGCTCCTGCACTCTCTCTGACCTGGGCCTGCGTTACTCGTCCAGCATCTTTCATTGCTTTGTCTGCTGCTGTTCTTCATGGATGTAAGAAGTGGCATTTCTGTCTGTTTCTTTAGAAAGCACTTCTCCCAGACAAACGTGGGCTTTTCGTGGGGACGGGGAGTGGGCACCTGGAGTGTGAGATAGGATTAAACAGAAGTATTAAGGGAAGATTAAAGAAGACCAAAGCATCTTCTGTTTGTTACAGTGTTTCTCTGAGGCGTTAGTTTTCAGACTCCCTTTATGAGTGGGAGTGTGTACATTTGACACAACGTGACAGGGTGGCGTAAACAAGATAGAATGTTCTCTCTTAGTTGAAAGTCCCAAATTGGTGTGGCAGCTCAGCGCCATGCTGCTGTTGCTCCACCATCCAGGGTGTTACCGCGGTCCCAGTAGCCCAGGATGGCTCCCCCCGAGTCTGTAACCCAGCAGCAAGCAGTCAGGGGAAAGGCAAACACAGCCCCAAAAAAGCTGCACTGAGATCTCACTGGACTGAAGCGTGATCTGGGACCACACCTGGCTTTATAGGAAGCTGAAAATTTGGGACAGTAATTGGTCCATTGAAAATGTAGAAAGTTGAGCCTGGCAGGTGTGGCTCAGTGCATTAGCATCATCCCCTGGACAGAGAGGTCCCAGTTTGATTCCCAGTCAGGGCACAGGCCTGAGTTGCAGGCTTGATCCCTTGTAGGGGGCATGCAGGAGGCAGTCGATGGATGTATCTCTCTCACATCGATGTTTCCCTCTTTCTCAAAAAAATCATTTAAAAAAACCCATTTTTAATTTTTTTTTAATGTAGAAAGTTGCCCTAGCCAGGTAGCTCAGCTGGTTAGTGTTGTGCTGATATACCAAGGTTGCGGGTTCAATCTCCCATCGGGTACATATAAGATTCAACCAATGAATGCATAAATAAGTGGAACAACAAATCTCTCTCTTTCAAAAATAATAAAAATCAATTAAAATATATAGGATGTTTTGCTGTAGAAGGAGGTAGAAACAGAGGTTGAAGGATGACATGCAGTTTCTGTCATACCCCTGTATCTTACATTTTCTCTGGTCCCTTTGCACACTTGACATTCACAATACAGCTGCTTTTCTCGTAGGAGAAGGGAGCCAGGAGAGAGCGGTGAGGTGTGGAAATACCACACTGCAGAGAACCTCACACGGGGGAAAGCTTGAGAACCCTGACTCTTCCCTCGGGTCTCCAGGGGCTAGTTTAGCGCTTGTTTTGATTTCTGGGTGGCCTTTCATGACTTTAGACCCCCAGTCCTTCTCAAACTTGATACCATGTGAAGACAGGAAAGGTAATATTCATCTTGAAACTCAGGCACTTTGGAGGATGGGTCATTTGAAATGTGACTGCAAATTATAGCCAAAAGTGTATTTCATACTTTAATTTGGAATGAAGGAAAACCAAAAACGAGCATATGATATGGTGCTTTGCTTGCTATTAACATGTATGGGAGGTCAGAAGGGCCAGACACGTGTCAGTATAGCCTGGCCATGGAAGTATTTCAGATGATACACATGCAAAAATCTTTTGATTCTATATAAACCACCATGCAAATCTGCACAAGGAAGACTGCGATCATTTTATAACTCATTTAATAATGAGAAGTGTTATTATAAAGACATCTTTTATATTCTGATCTTCTTCTGGGAATGTAAGAGGGTGGATGAACTTGTGGTTTAGTAATTAAAATTTGAAGTTATTTGAGTATTTCTAAGAATAATGTCTAAATATATTTGAAATTGTCAATCAGAACCAAATAAATGTATACTTACATTGTTTAAACGTGTTCAGCATCCTAAAACTCCATTTTTTCTTTATTGACTTATTTTAGAGAGAGAGAGAGAGAGGAAGAAAGAGGGAGAGAGACATAGAAACATCGATTGGCCGCCTCCTGCATGCTCCCCACTGCGGATCAGGCCCACAACCTGGTCATGTGCTCTGACCAGGAATTGAACCGGTGACCTCTTGGTGCAGGGGTTGATGCTCAACCACTGAGCCACACTGGCCGGGCTAAAACTCTAATTTTTAAGAAAATATTTTAAACCTTCTTATCTAGCTAAATATTATTTACTTCTTTTTATTTTTCTAAATGTTTGTGTGTTACGATCCGAAACTATCATTTCTCAGACTTTGGCTTTTTGCTGTGTGTTAGCCGTACCTTTGCATGCTGTGATTTCATTAGCTTTCAATTTTTCACATGCGCTTGAAGAGGGTGTCCCATTGATAATTCCTCTGTTATATTAGTTAGTTCTTTTTTCTCCAGTGCTCTTAAAGAATCGAATAAATGGTTATTGTCTGAGGTAGTTTGGGGGAAAGTATTCCCTGGCTGGAAGGGCTGAGCCATTCTTCTTAGTCTCTTTCAGTCATAAGATTCTTAAACCACCTGGAATGGCCCATAACTCTTGCCTTGTAAGTTACACTGGTCTTTTTACTTACAGGCCAAGTCCTGCCGTAACGTGCTTGAATTAGGATCGCCCTGTTATTTGCCTGTGGGGAAATTGCTTCCTGATATTCCAGACAGACCCACAGCCGAATGGGCCAGATGTGGGCCCTGTCTCCCTGCAGTGAGGCTGTCACTCATGGAATATATTCGCTCCAGAAAATCGTGCGTTTCGGAAGAGAATGTTGTTTTAACATTAGCAGTGAGAGGCATCTCCCTTCGGATATTGTCCAGGGAATGATGCATCGTTCGAATTTTGAGACCATTTGAAGTGAGAAAACTTGGATGCTCCTGGTTAGGGAAATCTGTCCCAGGGCCTGAGAGGGAAAGAATGTTGTTCTGGGCAAGGACAGCGCTCATTCCCAGGTAGGATGGCCAGAACACGGGGCGTTAAACGAAAGCCTGTTGTCTGTTTATGATCAATCCGCCTATCGTCCTGTCTTTGGGGGGCTGTGCCTTCCTGCGGTGGGTGCTGTTTATGTAAAACAGCTGTCCACGGCACAGACAAAGGCAAACGCGCATACACGACTTAGCCGGTCTTCTGCCCACAGGCGGGATGGGTGGCAAAAGTTCATCTGGGAAGCATTTGTTTAAAATGCAGAGTGTGCTTGTCCTTAGAAACACTGGTGCAGAGGATGGTTCAGAGCCAGGCTAGCCCACCAAAGCCTGTGTAACACATCATGTCACTGAACTCACACCGTGACGTGTGATACATCCTAGAGGGGGCCTCATGCAGTGACAGGAGGAAGGGGAAGGGAAGGTCTTTGCCTTCCTACTTCCAAGGGTCTCATTACCCTCATTTCCTAATCTCCCTCCTCATCCGCCTGGGAGGGGATGAATGATTCCTGCCTCTCAGTGTCCCGCCCCCAGGAAACGACTCCCCCTCCGCAAACCCTTAACATGGCTCAGTTCAGCTCAGATCAGCAAAACAAGGAATCCGATCTTCTGACCTTACACATGCTTTTGTCGCTCATTGTGGTCTTAAACCCTCTAATTTTTAAATATGGTATTTCCTAGACATATGATTCTCTAATAATTAGTGGGTTTCCAGTCAGTGTTACAGACTGAAGACTAATGCAGAAAGGAGAAATGATGTTTAGAGACTGGACCATAATGTGAAAGAAATTGTTTTTCGCCCTGGCCGGTTTTTCTCAGCAGTTAGAGGGTCAGCCTGCGAACCGGAGAGTCCCGGGTTCGGTTCCTGCTAAGGGCACGTACCTTGGTTGCAGTTTGTCCCTGGCCCCGGTTGGGGTCTTGTGGGTGGCAGCCAGTTGATGTGTCTCTCTCACATCGATGTTTCTCTCTCTCTTCCTCCCTCTTTTCCTCCCACTTTGTCTGAAGATGAATGCAAGAATGTCCTCGGGTGAGGATAAAAAAAAACAAGAAGAAAAAGAAATTATTCCTCTAAGCCAGTGATTCTCAACGAGGGGTGATTCCCCCTGCCCCACCCCAGGATAATTAGCATTGTCTGTCTAGAGACATTTTGATTGTCCCAACTGGGCATCTAGTGGGTAGAGGCAGAGGTGTTGCTTAATATCCTACAATGCATGAAACAGCCTCCTACAGCTTAAAATGTCAGTAGTACCCAGCCGGTGTGGCTCAGTGGCTGAGCATCGACCCATGCACCAAGAGGTCACCGGTTCCATTCCTTGTCAGGACACATGCCCAGGTTGTGGGCCTGATCCCCAGTGGGGGACATGCAGGAGGCGCCAATCAGTGTTCTCTCTCATCAGTGTTTCTATCTCTCATTCTCCCTTCCTCTCCAAAAATCAGTACAGGGAAACATTTTTTTTTTTTAATGTCAATATCGCCCTGGCCGGTTTGGCTCAGCGGTTAGAGCGTCCACCTGCGGTCCGGAGAGACCCGGGTTCGGTTCCCGCTAAGGGCACGTACCTCGGTTGCAGTTTGTCCCCGGCCCTGGTTGGTCGTGCGGGTGGCAGCCACTCGATGTGTCCCTTCCACATCGATGTTTCCCTCTCTCTCTCTTCCTCTCTCTCCCTCCCACTCTATCTGTACAAAAAAATGGAAAAATGTCCTCGGGTGAGGATAAAAATGTCAATAGTGCTGAGGCTGAGGTGTTACTCTGTGGGTGTCTGGGTTAAGGAGTTTGGGAAATGCAGGATTTCAGCGTTTACTAGGTGTATGGGGTTGGCCGGCAGTGGTAACTTTGGTTCCTTCCCCCCACACCCTGCCCCAGACATTGGTGATGAACATACGCAATAATCCAACCTCATGGGCGTGTGCGGAGGGTCTGCGGTGGGCCAGCAGCCTCGTGGGCACTGGGGATGCAGCAGGGACCAGACAGCAGTTTCTGAGCCACTGACTCAGTGTTCCATGGGGAAGGAGACCGTTAACCGCGGAGCGGCCTGGCGTGCGCCCTGTAGGGAGAAAGGGCAGCGGGAAGGAAGTGTTGGAGAGTGTTCAGAGCCATGAACAAAGACAAGAAGCAGGGAGTGGGGATAGGAAGGGCTGGGAGGCACCGGAATTTTAAAGGGGCAGTTCGGTTCTCAGTGGGAAGGAGCACTGGAGGAGGCGAGAGCAAGCTGGGCGGCCTTCCAAGAGGAAGAGCACCAGGCAAGCTGGGAGCGATCTCTGAATGCCCCAGGCTGGGGCCTGCTGGTCTGGTAGCCTACCAAGGCTGCCCCTCAGCCCCTCCGGAGACACTCCAGAGGCCCCGGAGGCCTCGGGGCAGGTGGAGGCCTCGGGGCAGGTGCGTTAGGGTTAGGATTTCCTAGTTACCTGTCTGCAACCCTCGCGGCAGGTTGTGTTCGAGGGCAATGTACACAAACGCTCCGTGAATGGTGTGTGACTGTTTTGTAACTCTTTTCCTTCTTCTCTGAGAGCTTGAGTGTCTGAGAACGCCAGGTCGTTCCCTCGCAGGGGCTGGAGGACATCAGGGAGGGCCGCAGGAGGGATGGAAGCAAGGGGTGTGGGGTGTGTTCTCCGCCGGCTCGCAGGCGGCCTTTGCTGGGTCCCCACGCCTGTGGTGCTCGCAGCCTGCCGGGACTGTGGACACGGCCTGTGGCGTGCAGGTGGACAGCGGAAGCAGTGCTTCTAAGTGGCGGGCTGTGAGTGCACCAGCTCTCACCCAGAGCTTAACTGCCCCCCAAGAGGACGGCGTTGGAGCGGACCCTGAATGTTAGCCCCTGGGCAGGATGCTGTGTGCCCTCCCCACTTTGTCACGCTGAACTTTAGAGATAAGAAGCTGAGGCCCGACTCTTAGGAACAACAATCCCATCTTTGTTGGAGGACAGTTTATTTCCTCATAGTTGTCTTCATTACAGAGATAAGAGATTTAAAATGTGTGGCCTTTTTCTCTCCCCCATTTTCCCCCTTGAACCTATTCAGGTCACAGCGCTTTGCACCTCGCAGCCAAGAGCAGCCACCCTGAGTCCGTCAAGAAGCTCCTTCAGGTAAAAAATGGCAACAACTTCCAATTAGAAACACGTCACTTTTAAAATTTAAAAGTAACCTTATCTGTGAAAGAACAAATCCTCTCCCTCTTTCTCTCTCTTTTAAATACTATCCCAGAACCTGGGTTTCCTCAGAAGGTTCATTATTGAGATGACAGCCGTGGCGAAGATTGTTTCCATGGCAACCGCACTGGGGGGGAGTTTGGAGTGTCTTCCTGGAATCCAGTCTTTTTCTTCCTTTCATCAGTTCCTCCTTTACTTTCTGAACGACTGTGCCCTTTAAACAGTCAGTTAGAAAAACTTTTTTCCATGCTGTTGGACATCCTTACGATACAGACTCTCCGTTACCCTCGTCCTCTCTCCCACCCATTAGTAGAATAGTTCTTGCAAAGCAAAACTGCCGTGATTTCCTTGCAAGTTACTCGAAGAGCTTTTCGTTTTTAGGTTTTAAATTCTGGGTTTTATTCTTCTTTGTCATTTTAAACTAACTCCCTGGTTCCACAGCCTTGCCAGGAATCTTACAATGATCGCTCAGGGTGATGACTTCTGTAAATCTTTAAAGATGAATATTTAATGAAATCCCAATAGTAGTAGTCCTTCCCAAGACGTCCAGCTGTTGCCAGTCGTAATGCAAGCTGGCTGTTCTGAGAATAAAAGCAATAAAAGATGTGTTGGGAGGACTGTCTGTTCCGCGGAGCTGTTGTCTCAGCCTTGAGGGCGCTGTGTAGGGCCCAGCGCAGGGCCCAGCGCCTTGCTTTCATTTGGCTTTGCAATTCTAATGCAGAAGCTGGTCACATTCTTCAGCTTGTCCTGCTCTGCTGATCACACGGCTGCTTGTCTTGCATTGCATGATGCAAGCCACCGCCAATGCCAGGAATGCGTAACCTCCTCAGGTCTTTGACAGAGATTCAAGACAAACAGATCAGCCCTGGCCGGTGTGGCTCAGTGGTTGGAGCGTCGGCCGCGGACCAGAGAGACCTGGGTTCGGTTCCCACTAGGGGCACGTACCTCGGTTGTGGTTTGTCCCCGGCCCCAGTTGGGGTCGTGTGGGTGGCGACCACTGGATGTGTCTCTCTCACATTGATGTTTCTCTCTCTCTCCTTCCCGCTCTATCTGAAGATAAATGCAAAAAAAAAATGTCCTCAGGTGAGGATAAAAAAAAGAAAAACAGATCAACATCTGTGATGCTTATTATTTTTGTTATGAGGCTTCTTCTTGAAAACAATGAAGGCAGAACTTTCCCTGTCTCCCTTCTCTGGGATGGGCACTCCTTATAAATGAAAATCGTTGACTTGCCCAAGTAAAGTGACCTGCTTCCACATCCTTGGTCTTATCTCAGTTTTAAACTTGTATGTGTTTTATTTTTTATCTTTATTGTTGAAAGTATTACAGATGTTCCCCCATTTTTCACCCATTGACCCCCTTCTCCCCACTCCCACCCCCCTCCTGTCTTCCCCACACTATTGTCTGTGTCCATTGGTTATACATATATGATATCAATTCTTTGATTTATCTCTTCCCACCCCCATCCTCCACCCCCTTCCCTCTGAGGTTTGGCAGTCTGTCCCCTCCTTCCATGTCTCTGGATCTATTTTGATCGTCAGCTTAGTTTGTTCATTATATGCCATAAATAAGTGAGATCATGTGGTACTTGTCTTTCTCTGACTGACATTTCGCTCAGCATGATACTCTCCGGGTCTCCGTTCCCATCCCGGCGTGGCTGTTTAGACTCTGCATCTGGCTCTGACTTTAAGGAAGAACAGACTTGACAAGCAGGGGATCCTCATGGGCAAGGACCAGATATTCTAGCCTCGAATGTAATCTTGTATCTGCTTATGCAAATAGATTGGTTTTCCTCTGGAATCTTTGAAGCCTTTAAACAGTTCCTTGTGCTGTTCTAAAATTAGGCCATGGCATGGTCAGTGGTAAATTGATCTTCATTCTTCTTGTCACTGGAGGGCAGGCAGACATTCCCCTCTAACGTTGCCTGTTCTTGCCTCCCCGAACTTACAAATTGTCTGAACACTGCTTCTGGGCAGTAGTTAAAACCTGAGGCTTTAATGTCCTCCTAATGGGTTGCTTCCCTTGGGTCCTGCGCCTCTCTAGTCAGTTCTTCACCTCCTGTCTTGGCAACCTATGCTCTCTGTGATGTGACTGCTGTTATCCCCTGCTAACCTTCACCCCTGCACCCTCTGTATTTACTCCTCTCTCTGGGCTCTCAAGACCTTGGCTCTTACGACTTGTCTGCTGGAGGTACTTACCCTCTCCAGTGGCTACATCCCCAAGGCAGTGAGTACAACAAGCAGAACCTTGTGAAATCCTTCAAATTCAAATGGACTCTCTCCCTCTCCTGATACCCGCTCTTCCCCCAACTCTTTCTTCCAACGACAGTTCCCTGAGCACCATGCCCTGTATCGAGTGTTGAGTATACCATATACTCAGGAACAGAGCCGCCCCTATCCTGATGGAGCTTGCGGTCTGCTAAACAAGTGCGCAAACACACATTACAGATTGCACAGCACTAAAAAAAACTCACAGGGTACTTGAGAGAGGAGTGAGTGGTGGTGTTCCGGAAGGCCTCCTGGAGGAGGTGGTAATTAGGCTGAAAAGTGAACGATGCAAAGAGCCAAGGGGAAAGCAGACCCACCAGCAAGTACGAAAGGCTTAAGGAAGGAAAAGCACTTGTCAAAGAGGAAAGAAAGCCACTGAGTGGGCAAAGCATGAGGAGGAGGAATAAAGGTATCGGGTACGGGCCTTGTATGTCACGGTGTGCAGACTGTAATTAGTCTAAGTACAGTGTGCTGTGAAGATCTTTTAAGTCAAGACTGAGATTCACAGCTTTGAAAGATCACTCTGATCGTACAGAGCTGATGAAAGGGGGAGGCTCAGACTTGTTGAGACCTGCCAGGAGGGAGGCTGTCTGTCTGCAGGTGAGAAGAGCTGGTGTGCACGGGGTCGGTGTGGAGGAGCAGAAGGCAGCCGAACTGGGGTTCGTTTCGGAGCAGAATTGACAGGACATGGTGGAAGGAGGAGGTGGAAAAGAAAGCGGAGATGACTCAGTGGTTCCTGGCTCATGGACTAGATTCATGTGACACTGTTGACAGACAAGGAAGTGTCAGGGAGTCAGGCTGGGGGGAGGGAGAAGGAGCCAGAGGACTTGGCTGTGCCGTGCCTGTGAGACAGGACAGAAGTGGGAACTGGGCCGTGGGCTATCAAGTCTGGTGCTCAGAGATGACCTCTGTCGTACACCAGCCCCAGCTCAGCCTGTCCAGGTTCAGACCCCTGCTCTGCTGTCTGCTGTGGCCTGAACAAACTGTTAACATCCTCGTACCTCTGTGTCCTCATCTGAAAATGGGGCTAAATGATAGGAGCCAACGAGGGTTGTTGGGAACCTTAAAACAATTTTTTGAACAATGCCTGGCACATAACAGCTAATACTTACACAATAGTATTGTTATGGTTAAGCTATGCATTTGGGACTCATTAGATTTTGGATGTGGATGAGATTACAGAGGAAGCGAGCTCAGACAGAGGGGACGGAAGAACCCAGGATTTTATGTTGGGCCAAAGGAGGAGTGGCCCGAGTAATGGGACGAAAACCAGAACTGGACGCGCCAGGCGGGGCTCCAGGAGCTGAGATGGAGTTCTGGAGAAGAGGGAGTGGTCGATCGCAGGTGAGAGGTTGGTCGGAGGACAAACACGTTCATCGTCATAGGAAACACGAGGATTGTCGGTGCCTTTGACTAGGACATTTTTCTATGGCGTCTTCAGGGAAAATACCCAACTGTGGGTTCAGGAATGAATGGCAGGTGAGGCAGCGTGGACTGTATGTGGGCAATTCTTAAGGAAAAGTGGGTTTTGTAAAGAGACAGAAAATTAGGGCAGGAAATGGGGGTGGGGAGGTGATAGTATCAAAATGAGAAGTTTGTTAGCTGGTGGGATGACCCAGTGCGAATATGGTGATGGGTAAAGGACGGGGGGGATGCTGAAGCGGTGACAGGGTGACAGTTTGCCGGTGTCATGACTACTTGGAGGTGCATCTCCTGAGGAGCGAGAGGCCCCTGGAACGTGGCAGTTGGGACCCATTCATGTTCATACTGTTCTCAGTAAGTCTCATACTTTGCAGGAAAAAGATGAGCCGAATAGAACTGAATTGATTATATGGGTTTGTTTGTTTTTTTCTTATAGTCTAAGTGCCCAGCCGAAAGCATTGACAGCTTGGGAAAAACAGCTTTACATTACGCAGGTAACTTCCGTTCTCTTGTTTGTCCTCTGCATTTTCCTGATTCAAGCTGTTCAACGCACCACGTTACACGGCTGCTGGTGCCGCCGTCTGTCACCATTCCTAGACAGTCCCGCTTCGTCCCCTTCACAAAGCGTGTAGAGTTACCAAGCAACAGATCTAGAATCCATCCATCGCCCGCCACTCAACACAAATTGTCTTGGTTATAGTGTAATTCACCTAAGATTATTGGTTTTGTTTTGTTTTGTTTTTTATTAATTAATTTTTGTTACAGATGTTTCTCCTTTTTCCCCCCACTGATTCCCCCCTTCCCCTCCCTCCCTGCCCTGTACCCAGTTTGTTGTCCATGTCCGTTGTTCATGCACACATGCATATAAGTTCTGTGGTTTATCTCTCCCCCTCCACCCCCTCTTCTGGGGATTGTCGGTCTGTACCCCACTTCCACGTCTCTGGGACTATCCCCTTCCTCAGACTGTTATGTTCATTATATTCCACAAATAAGTGAGATCATATGAAACTTGTCTTTCTCTGTTTGGCTTGTTTCACTTAGGATGATACTTTCCAGGTCCCTCCATGTCGTCTCAAAGGATAAGAGATCTTTCTTTCTTACAGCTGCGTAGTACTTCATTGTGTATATGTACCACAGCTTTTCTATCCATTCGTCTACTGATGGACACGATTCTTGTTTAAACTAAGAGATATTCATAAGCATTTGTGGATGTCAAGTATTGGGTGATACAGATTTTTTTAAATTTGGTGCTCATTAAGAACATCAATCCACGTATCAGCATTTGGTGTTACCATCTGTCAACAGCCTCAAGTGACAGAATGTTGACCCTGAACTCCGGGATGATCCAATTTACAAGTCTCTTTTAGGGCTGGTCGTGGAAAAGCCCAGTCCGACGCTGGCCTCAGCCCAGCTGGCGTTAGGGCTGCGCTGAACCGAAGCAGTAATTGCAAACAGCTCTTACTTCACCTCCTTGGCGCGGCCTCGCGTCGGTGTGGCCAGAGCGAGCGGTGCCAGCTGGGCAGAGCCTCGGCCCCTCCCGAGGAGTGGGCGACGCAGGCTGTACGAGCAGCTTTTTGATCGGCTGTTTGTTTCCCTCTCCTCAGCGGCGCAGGGCTGCCTTCAAGCTGTGCAGGTTCTCTGTGAGCACAAAAGCCCCGTGAACCTCAAGGATTTGGTAAGTCCCAGGTGGCCACGTGACGTGCAGTGGACACTGGTTTCTAGAGCACTGTGGGCTACTTCTGAGAGCCACCACGACTTTAGAGACCTAAGTGTTTGGCAAAATCTATGGCTTTTCAACCTAACTCCCTCTTCTGCAAAATGGATGTAAGTATTATCCCTCATTGGTCCCTAAATCATAAATAAAACATTCTTAAAAAAATGGATTTGGGAGAGAGAGGAAGGGGGAGAGAGAGAGAGAAATAGGGATCAGTTGTCTCCTGCATGCACCCCGACCAAGGATCGAACCCGCAAGCTGGGTGTGTGCCCTGACCCAAAACCGACCCTGCGACCCTGCGGTGTTTGGGACAATGCTCCAACCAACTGAGCCACACCGGCCAGGACTGAAGAAAACATTTTGCTGCATGCACTTTCCCTATATGTATGTTTGTATCTGAGGATATATATGTGGGCTGCCATCAACTTAAATATTAGTAAGACGTAGTTTCTTGATTTTTAAAAATAAATAAATCTAAGTACAAGTTTTATTCCTTTGTTTTGGCATCCCATGCATCACCTAGGGTACTGCTGGTTAGGGTTTCCCAGCTATGAAGACCAGCCTAATTTAACCTCCCTGGGCTATTTGCAGAATAAATTCACATGCCTATTGCTCCTGCTTGCAGGGTTCACTTTCCTACTGTTGTGTGGGAATTGATATATACACACATATACCTCACGGAGATGCTGTGAAATGAACATATGGAATCTGTAAATAACTTCACACTCCCTGAATTTCATTACTTTATAACCAGAAAGTGTTATAACTTCTCAGAGATAATTTTTTAGAAATGGGTCTGAAATTCTACTTTTCAAAGAAACTTAATCCTTAAGCAGCAGTTGTATTATAACAAATCCCCATGTTAAAACAGTTGGCGATATTGTAACTTGTCTTTTTCTTTCCCTATTTGGATACATCGGGCTTCAACACTGCTGTGGACCCCACTTGTAGGGTGTGCAAGGGGAGGGCAGGATGGAAGCTTCTCTCGGAGTCTGTCGTTTGAATCGGGTCCCCTTCACCCTAGGATTAAAGAAATAGTTGTCTATATATTCTCCGAGTATTTTTTCACTTGTTTTGTGTTGTCGTGTTTTAAACTCTTAATGTGTGTATATGAGTTGGGGATTGAATTTTCTTTTTTCCCGAGGAATGGCCAATTGTCATATTGTGGCATATTAAATCATTCCTTCCAGCCGTCTCTTTATCTAGGCATGTGTCAGTAATAGGCAGACTCTTCATTTGTGTTGATACCTAGTAGGTTACGAAAGAGTATTCTTTCCAAGAACACGGCAGTGGCCTGGAGGGTACGCGGCTCCCTCGGGAGGGGCAGCGCAGAGGGTGGGGGACCTCCTGATGCCTCGTGAAGCAGGCCCTTCATTTCTCCAGAACCATCCCAGTGACCCTGGAGTAAATACACACCTGGGGCCTTTACAATCTGTGTCCCACTCTGTCCTATCGTCACCGGACTGAGGGACGGCCCAGGGAACAAGCGACCCAAGAGGCTGCGGCCCCTGAGGAGACGCTGACAGTGCAGGTCATAAGAAGACTTGTGCTGAGAGGTCACAGTGGCCCAGCTGGAGCACCGGCCATCCCGGGGTCCAGGACAAGACCAACAGGACAGGGCAGGAGCACACGTAGACAGGACAGGGCCTTAGCGACTCTGGCCCTGGTGTCTGTTAAGCGTCTCACCTGTACTTGTGTCCTAGGATGGGAACGTACCGCTGCTCCAGGCAGTGCAAAATGGCCACGGTGAGGTCTGTCGCTTCCTTCTGGATCACGGAGCAGATGTAAACTCCAGGGACAAAAATGGAAGGTACCACAGCATGAGAAACCGTGATGTCCACATTCTGGGAGTCTTTCAAAGCATCACAGCTGTACTTGGGATCATTTGTTATGAAGTGATTGTAACTTTACTTTTTTATTTTTTAATAATCAGGAATCTGTTTTGACTTAAAAGAGTTTTTCCCCAGACCTCTGGGAACTTCTTTGAGTCTGTGATGGGATTAATAAATAGTAAAGTGAACAGGCCATTTCTTATGACTTTTCATGCAAAAATAAACCAAAGTAAACATATTGGTTTCTTTTTTTAAAATAATCCTGACATGGTATAGGTAGGTAATCTGAAATGCTCGAGGTGAGGTATTGCATTTCAGATTTGTGCCAATCATATTAAATTCCATCATATTTAGAAGGTTATGTTTAGAAGATTGTGTCTATGTTCTTTGACCAAATATGGCTTAATATTTTAATTAATCTGAGTTTTTTTATTATTATTATTTTTAAATCCTTTAAGTGGATATTTTTCCATTTATCTTCATATAGAGTATGAGAGGGAGAGGGAGAGAGAGACATCGATGTGAAAGAGACATCGATTGGTTGCCTCCCGCACAACCCCCAACCAGGGCTGGGGACAGAACCACAACAGAGATACTAGCCCTTGACAAGAATCGAACCCAAGACTCCTTGGTTCGCGGGCCGACGCTCTAACCACTGAGCAACCGGCCAGGGCTTCATCTGAGTTTTTAAAAAACAGCTACTTAATTTCATCTCGATAGCATTCCATTTGAAGATGAAGTGTCGTACAGTTTTAACAGCACTTAACCTTCTTTTCCCCGTTTTTAAGACAATGAAATGATTTCCCAGGAATAAGTTCGACTTAGTACTAATCTGGTGTCTCCGTTTTCTTCAGAACTGCTCTGATGGTGGCCTGTGAGGTCGGCAGCTCCAAGGTCGTGGAAGCCTTAATTAGCAAGGGCGCAGACCTAGCCCTTGTAGATTCCCTGGGACACAATGCCTTACATTATTCCAAACTCTCCGAAAATGCAGGAATCCAAAGCCTTTTGTTATCAAAAATCTCTCAGGATGCTGGTATGTGAAAGAAAATAGCCAGTGTGGTTTTAAGGTTAGCCACTCCATTTCCCCCAAAGGATACAGGAATGTGTGCAATAAGATGTATTTTATTATTCTTTTAAACATATTCCTGAAGAAAAATGAAGTGTTAAGTATTGTGTATATTGTGTGTATCCCCCCTGCCTAAAGTGGATGCGAGTTATTATGGTTCTTATAGTTCTTTTCTTTTTCCCTTACTTTTTCCTCTGTAGATTTAAAGACGCCAACAAAACCAAAGCAGGTATTTATCTTTGGGAGAGGGGATTTTTTTTTTTTCATCTTTGCTTATGGGAATTTGAAAAATTTCCCGATTAGACCACTCTGTGGTCCTAGAAAAGTGATAAAGCCTATGTTGGCAATACTTAAGGAATAAAATATCTTCTGAATAAATGATTCATCATTATAAGGTGGTAAATGTTTTCTAAATGGTTTGCCCTGTTTCCAAAGCTTGTAACTTAAAACCTGCTACTTATATATTTATCTTTTCCCAAAATGTACTAATATTTCCTATTGTGAGAATGTTCAATGTGATTTAAACTCTGAAAATGAATAACAATATTTTAAATACTTGTAAGACCACATGGGTTATAGACCCATGTCCATGGCGGTGTTAGATATTTATGCAAATAAGAAATTTAGCTTTTCCTTTTAATTGGGGCTTTTAAAAAATCTCATTAGCGTTACTCAGACATCAAAAAATTTACCCTCATATTTTGGAATTTTTTTTTCTAAAAACATAGTCACTGTTGCTTACTTTATTATTAACAGGATGTATCTTTGGCTGTTTATTTGTGCATCAGAGTTTTTGAAAAAGTTATAAACACACAAGTCAGTACTGAATTTATTGTGTGCTAACTGTGTTCCTTATTTCTCCATAACCTTCAGAGATGAGGTTCTCCCTGCCCCCTCCATTCACATTCGTTAAGGAGGGATGGAGGTGCCGCAGAGCGGGGGAAATCCCACGCTCTCTCTCCATTAGGGTGGAAACCAGACAGAATGTGTTCTGGGTTCTAACGTGTGGCAGACATCTCCTCCTCCTCCACTTCCCCAGCTCTCCACACCGACTCCATCTGACTTGTCTTGTGTGTTTTGTTTCCTTGCTGTTCAAGCATGGGCTGCGGGGGAACACTAAGAGCATGCACACCACTGATTTTTATGTGGGTAGCAGATTTCAGATCTTGATAAAGTAAGAAATGCATGAACTGTGGAGGTTTTTCTCCTTGTTTGATGAAGCTATGTGCTCCGACTTTACTAACCTAACTAACCCGCCACCATTCTTTGGACTGTGATAACTTGCAGCATGATCAAGTGTCTAAAATAAGCTCAGAAAGAAGTGGAACTCCAAAAAAACGCAAAGCTCCACCACCTCCTGTCAGTCCTGCCCAGGTAAAAACAAAGCCAGCTCGCCGCAGCAGACTCAGCGGGTTGCCCTTTAGTGTCGGTGTCTGGGCCAAAAAGAAACGTCTTGGAATTGAGCCTTGAATGCACCTTTAAACTTTACTTCAGTGGTTTTAAGTGACACATTGTGGTATTAAGGATTTTGATGATTAGAAGGGAGATAAGGTTGATTCTTATTTATTTCAAAACGGAAGCATTGAACAGCATCTTTTTTAAAGCCCCAAGGAAATTTCCCAAAATCTTTAGGACCGAGATTTTTTTGCCTTGAGTTAACAAGCTCAGTTCTTCTGGGCCCTCAAGGCTGTAGAAAAGGGCAGGAGGATGGGTAGCCGGGAGGCAGTTAGTTGAAAATGAATTTTAGTTTGTTTCTTAAAACACCGTTAGGATGTATTTGCCTTTATAATCACGTTTAAGTTCGACTTAAAAGCATCTTTCAGGTTATAGTGACTGCAGCGTAGAGGAGGAAGAGCAGATATCTACGAAATGGCCAATGAAACAAGCTGGGGGTTATTATTAAAAGAATCATAGGCCAGAAAGAATCCATATTCGAATAGTTGAGAGGAGCACCTCTCTGATAAGTAATTTTAAAGTGTGTTAGCATATTTATTAATAATATTCTCAACCTGCAATAGAAGTTTTACAGATTTTTAAAAATATGTTTTTTATTGTTTTTGTTTTGTTTTGTTTTTAAGAGAGAGAGGAAGGGAGAGAGAGAGAGAAACATCAATGGGCTGCCTCCTGCCCACCCCCTACTGGGGATCAAGTCGAAAACCCAGGCATGTGCCCTGACTGGGAATCGAACTGGGACCTCTCAGTCCATGGGACAACGCTCAGTCCAATGAGCCACATCAGCTGAGCAGAAGTTTTACTTTTTTTTTGCATGTTTTTAAAGTTTTACATATTTTTAAAACTGATTCGAGTAAATACAGGAGCAGAGTTGCTTACTTATAGTCTTCAAATTTTTAGAAAGTATTCGAGGTATCTGAATTACATTGAATATATGTTAGCCCCCAAATAATTGAAACTAAGGATAATTACTGTTAGATGTATTTGCATTGGTTAAATTCTTTGGCACTGGAGGAGAAAAGACTTTGAAGAAGCATCCTTTACCAGTGGTTTTCAATTTTATTTTTAGTTGAGTGATGTGTCTTCCCCAAGATCAATAACTTCCACACCAATTTCGGGAAAGGAATCAGCATTTTTTTCTGAAGCACCCTTCAAGGTATTTCCTTTCTGTGTTCAATTTTGCTATTGAATTGTACAATCCATAATAGACTTGGTTTAAGTTATATAACACTGGACAAAACAGAATATACTTCTCAGTGATTGGTTTACAAACTTTTCATCAAGAAGCACCCCTGGCCCTGACCGATTTGGCTCAGCGGTTAGAGCATCGGCCTGCAGTCTGGAGAGACCCGGGTTCAGTTCCCGCTGGGGGCATGTACCTTGGTTGCAGTTTGTCCCCGGCCCTGGTTGGTCGTGCGGGTGGCAGCCACTCGATGTGTCCCTTTCACGTCGATGTTTCTCTCTCTCTCTCTCTCTTCCTCTCTCTCCCTCCTACTCTGCAAAAAATGGAAAAATGTCCTCGGGTGAGGATAAAAAAAAAAAAAAAAAGAAGCACCCCTGATTATTTTCCTGGCATGGACCCCAAACAAAAAGAATAGGATGAATAAATTACATTTATTAGCTAATAATTAATTTCTTTACTTAATAAAAAGGCACAAAGATCAAACTTACCCGATAACCATTCTCCTTACTAAACTGAATTGATATAATGCCAATCAAATGAAAAGTTTTTTTGTTCTCTGATGTCTTACTGAAAAGTAATTGTATATTTTTAATTAAACTTCTTCCTGATTATAACAGTGATATGTTATTTATTTTAGAAATTTTTAAAAATCCACTGGGAAAGTATTTAAGGAATGGGAGGATATTTCAGTCAATATCTGCTTATCTAATAATCACTAGAAAATTATACTTGGGGAGAAAGGAAAATTTATTATTGTTGAAATGAAATTTCAGTGGTATAATTGTGTATTTATTTCCCCCATTTAAGAGTTACTAAAGATAAATTTTTTTTTAACTTAGATGTGCACTCATTTGAAAAAGATTCTATCAGCCTAACATTTCCATCACTTGAACTAGAGTTCACTAATTAGCTTTATTTTATTATTGTTGTTATTATTATTATTCTTATTTGCTTACTAATAAGCTTTTAAAAGGAGTGCCTATGCAAGGCAAGGCAGTGTGGGAAGCTATACTCTTACAATTAGTACCCTATTCTATTGTAATATGCTTATGGCTCCAAGGAGGCAATGCATTTCAAAGAATAATAGCACAAATTGTTATTTTCAGAACTAGAGTGTATAAAGAACTTCAAAACACATAAAAAGAGAAAGTGACACCAATTAGAATGGCTAGAATTTAAAGAGATTAAAATGCCAATTGTTGGTGCCGATGAGCGGGAATTAGGGCTCTAATACTCTTGGTGGAAATGCCAAATGGTACAACTGCTTTGGAAACCTGTTTGACAGTTCTTTTTAAAAGTTCACCAAATGATCTAGCCATCCACTCATAGATGTTTACTGAAGAGGAATTAAAATATACGTCTCAAAAAATCTTATACACAAATGTTTATAGCAGCTTTATTTAAATACCCCCAAATGAACAATCCAAATGTCTTTCAAGAAGTGAATGGATAAAGGTAATGAAATTCATTCATTTAATGGAATATTACTCACCCATAAAAAAGAATGATGTGCTGCCCAAGCAGCATTATAGATGAATCTGAAAGTCATCATGCTAAATGAACGAAGCCAGACACGAAGACATTCATACCGTGACATTCCATTTATAGGAATTCTAGATAAATGCAAAAAGGAGCGTAGTGGATGCCTGGGGACGGGTTGGGCAGGGACTGGCTGTGACGAGGCATGAGGAAGCTTCTAGATGTAATGGAAATAATTCTGTATCTTGATTGTAGTGGTGGTTCCATGGGTGTCTGTCTATCTGTCAAAACTCCTCAAATTTTCACCCTTAAATGGGTGCACTTTATTGTATGTTAATAGAGTTGAAGCAAAAAGGAGCATACACTTTTTTAAAGTAAAAGGACAGCTTTCTGTAACCTAAGCACTTGGCAAAAATAAGGCACTTTATTTTTAGCATGTTGGCCTTTACAGACGTTCCTTTGCTGAAAAAGTCTCTCTCGAGGCTGTGGCTCATCGAGAGGAAACCTGGTCAGTCTGGCCAGTCGCTGAACTTTGGAAATGACACTGCAGTTACAAGAATTTTTGCAATATATGAACATATTCAAGGACAAAGGTTTAATGGAAATCTTTAGGCCATTAATTGTCAGTCCAAGACCATAAGAATTTTTATTTCCTTATAAATGTTTCTTTATTGCCCTGGCCAGTTTGGCTCAGCGGTTGGAGTGTCGGCCTGCAGACCAGAGAGGCCTGGGTTCGGTTCCTGCTAGGGTCATGTACCAAAAAAAAACCCAATTTCCTTTATCATCTCTGAGAGATCTGCTTTACTATCATTTCTCTTAGGAGTATTAATAATAATATTAATAGAAGTTAATTTATAAAATAATAAACCTAAACAGTGCTTCTCATGTATTTTAATTAGTATGTTATCCAGATTTGTAAAACTTCTATTTGTAGTGTTTGCCATCTCAAGTTTTAGGATCTTAAAGGTATTATCATCTTAAAAGATATTTGTATTATACTTGTTAAAATTTCTGAAAAATGTTTTGAGAATATACCCTCTGGAACTTCTGATGTTTTAGAAATTATACCTTAAGGTAATTATCACTTCTAGTTACTTATATTTTAAAATATCTTCTTTCCTTGAGATCTTGTTTTTCCAGTAAGATAACACCAAGGAGGAAAATTTGCCTGATTCTTTTGTGTAATGTTCAATTCAGGAATATTCTTGTAAGTCATTTCTGTGTCCCAGCAGGCGGAGATCAGTTCCATACGGGAAAACAAAGACAGACTGAGCGACAGTACTGCAGGTAAGCGAAAGGCACCTGTTTTTGTCCTGTAGACCCGTCTCTCTTCTGTGTCCACTTAATGCGAGCAAAGGCCAAGCCAGGCTGCTGAGTGTCGGAGAACCCAGCGTGGCTCCCAGAGGTGCCAGTGCCATACGGGCTGACGCCCGCTGTACCTCAGGGCACCCTTGGGTTTTAAGGAGTCTCAGAGCCTGCGTGTGAAAAAAATGCATCTATTTTTATTTGTTCCAAACTAAATTTTAGCACTTCCTGCAATTATGAATATAGGCAATAACACAAGTGGTATAAGCGGGCCAGTGACTTTGACACCAAGAGAATTCATAAGTAGTGTCCTGCCCCTTACTGTTAATACAGGTAGCTTGAAATAGCATTTACAGTGTTTCTACTAGAAACTATGGCAGTTGTTAGACCTGCTGCCAGGTCTTGGTATTTGTTCTGTTACAAAATAAGTTCATAAATTACTATAGCCTGTCTCTTCTATTTTATGCATTTAAAAACATTATTTTAGCCCAGCCAGTATAGCTCAGTGATTGAGCATCGTCCCAGGCACTGAGAGGTCCCGGTTCGATTCCTGGTCAGGGCACTTGCCAGGGATTCGGGCTCGATTCCCGGTAGGGGGCGTGCTGGAGGCAGCCGATAGATGCTTCTCCCTCACATCAGTGTTTCTGTCTCTCTCTCTCCCTTCCTCTCTCTAAAAAAAATCAATAAAAACCTAGTACAAAGAAAACACATTATTCTAGGAGGAGGCCCGTGGGCTACAGGCCGTGGGGTAGCAGCACTCCTTGAAGGTGGTTTCCTGACGGGAGAGCCAGCCGAGCACCCCCGGGGCGCCACAACCTAACGTGGCTACATGGGGTGGTAAATAGACACACACAAAGATAGTGTGTTAACACACAATCGTTTCGTCTTCATCAAGATGGTTTAATTCACCGTGTTAGTAGTCCATCCTGCGAGTTTGCCCTCTAAGAATGTAGTCTAGTTCCTTTAGAATCAATTTAAAATATAGAGTAGATTATTATTATTATTATTTTTTATCCTCACCCGAGGACATTTTTCCACTTTTTTATTAAGATAGAGCGGGAGGGAGAAAGAGGAAGAGAGAGAGAGAGAGAGAGAAACATCGATGTGAAGGGACACATCGAGTGGCTGCCACCCACACCACCAGCCAGGGCTGGGGACAAACTGCAACGGAGGTACATGCCCTTAGCGGGAACCGAACCCGGGTCTCTCTGGACCACAGGCCGATGCTCTAACCGCTGAGCCAAATCGGCCAGGGCTCGAGTAGATTATTTTAAGGGTCCTTTTTTGCTCCAGCATTCAGTTTCTTAGTCTTAGCATTTCATGTGTTTGGAGCCTTTAACTTACACAATTTAGAAATATTAAACTTTCTTATTCTTGGCAGAGCTCAATGTTAATACATCTGAACAGTTGTTACATCAGACACTTTAGAATTCACTCTTGTATCTTAGAAGAAATTTCTGTTGCTTAGAACTACAGGCATGCTCCCAATCCCCGTTCCACTCCACGTGACTTCACGTCACAAAGCTGCCTCTTAGGTATGGATGTCAGAAGTAAGCAAATCTATGGAGAAATGTCATTTTGCATCCTTTCAGATTACGATTAAAGCTCTCATCTTTGCATTAAATGGCTATGAGAAAATTTAAAACTAAAGGAAAAATTTTAGATCAGTGCTATTCAGATCAATCTGCAAACTGTTTCCAATTTACAATAAATATATAAGGAGTTTGCACCAGAAAGTCATCCAGCGATAGCACTAAGCGTACTGTTTGGTCCAGCCAACGCTGTTTTTCATAAAGAAGACTTTCTGGATGAAGGAAGCGGAACATGGAGTTATATTCTGGAGCAAGCTCTTTGCCTCCATCAGTGAGTGCTTTGAGTCGTGGTGCTTTAGATGCTATTTCAGCATGATCATCAGGAGGATGTTTAAAAGTCATGGTTTGTCCACAGTGTTTACTGTGGGATTTAGAGAACACTGTATCATACTGCAGTGGTCAGCAAATGCTTTATGGAGGAGGAAGAGTTTGACGTGGGTCTTGAAGGATGCCTAAGAGCTATCTAACCAAAGAGATGCTGCCAGGGCAGTTGGATGGATAAAGAACTGGAGAAGCAGCCTTGTGTTGAGAGTATAGAGGATACGATGGAAACTGATGAGGAAGACGGGATACTAGAGAAAGGAACAATGAGCCATAAGCCCCCGAGACAGTAGATTGGGGCCAAATCATAGAGGCCTTGATGCAGACAAAGGGATTTGGAGATTATTTTTAGAGGAATAACAATTAAAGCACTTGAACCAAAGGAATGACCCTATCAAAGTATGTTTTAGGGAGATCGGTCTGAGAGTGGGGGGCAGGCTACATATTGACTAGGGCGAGGAGAGAGAAGTTTTTGGAAGCCATCCACAGAGTTTCAAAGTAGATGATAAGCCCTGGCCGGTTTGGCTCAGCTGTTGGAGCGTCAGCCTGTGGACCAAAGAGTCATGGGTTCGATTCCGGTCAAGGGCACGTGCCTCAATAACAGTTTGGTCTCTGGCCCTGGTCGGAGTCATGTGGGAGGCAACCAGTTGATGTGTCTCTCTCACATCGATGTTTCTCTCTCTCTCTCTCCCCCTCCTTCCCTCCCACTCTATCTGAAGATAAAGGGAAAAATATCCTTGAGTAGGGATTTTTTTAAAAGTAGGTGATAAAGTTTTAGCTTGTGTGATGATGGTGGGGTTAAGAAGTGAACTAGCTTCCAGGGATATTTCTGGAAGGATTCACAGAAATGGACTCATTAAGCATGGGCGGAACAGAAAGCAACCAAGCCATACTTAATCAAGTGAATGGAAAACGTAGGATCAATCCATGAACTCTCAGATGAGTTTCTGTGCATCCAGGTTCTAGTCTTGTGCTCGGAATATCCCAGGAAAGAAACCCCAGTACTGAGCATTGCTGTTCACTAATCCAGGTGACTGGGGCTCTCGTTCATTGTCAGGACCCAGAAGAAGAACTGAATTGGGCAGGAAGGGAATTTGTTAGAGGTCAGAGAAATGACAGTTTAATTTTTAAATATTAATTTAAATTGCCTTTCTCTTTTCCAAGGTGCTGATAGCTTATTGGATATCAGTTCTGAACCTGACCCACCAGATATTCTTGTCCTATTACAAGCAAAAATTGCATCTCTTACTTTACACAATAAGGAATTACAAGACCAATTACAGGTAGGTTAATCCCTACCACGGACTGGCTTGTAGGGTCAAGCTACTGGGTTTCTCAGGGTTATTCAGATGATCTTTTATTTTAAACATCTACATTAGTTTCTTCTTTTTTAATATAGTTAGCGGTAAGCATTTTATAGTTTCAAGTTATTTCTTTCTTGAGAGTTATTCATTAGCCCTATTTTTGTAAGTTTCTGAATTGGTAAATTATATATAATTATATACATCATATGATATATAATATGACAAATTATATATGTGTGTGTAAATATATGGTTAGCCATTCGTTTAGGAAAGTTGATCATTTAGCAGATTTAATAAGTAGCTGTAGTAAGCCCATTCATGGCCCTTCTCGGCAACTAGAATAATATGAGAAATAAAGAAAGAATTTGAGTCAGAGGCTTTACAGCCAAAGCAGATCTGTTTTTCAAGTGGCACTAAAAATCTGTTCGAATAGAGCGCAGAATAGGCTCGGTGTTGTCAGTCTGACTCTCGGGGCTCAGACCGTACTTTTCCACGCGGCAAGAGTGCACCTGTAAAAGCCGAGCACGCCGCTCTGCCACACGTGGGTTCTGGATCTGTTCTCTCGTCCCAGCTGCGTGCTCACCGAACCGCCCCTTCGGTGCCGTTTCATTCTCCCTGCTTCTGTTTCAGGCCAAGACATCCAAGGAGGCAGAAGCTGACCTGAGCTTCGACTCGTATCATTCCACCCACACCGACGTGGCCCCGTCTCCGAGGAAACCCGGTGAAACCTCTCCCCCAGACTCCAGGTCCTCTCCGTCTGTCTTTACACATTCCTTGAGTAAATCCACTATTGACAGCAACGTCCGAATCCAACAACTGCAAGAGATCTTGCAAGACCTGCAGAAGAGACTGGAGAGCTCCGAGGCGGAGAAGCAGCAGCTGCAGGCCGAGCTGCAGGCCAGGAGGGCAGAGCCCGTGCGCTTGAACAACGCCGACGTTTCCGAGAACGGCTCCGACCTCAGCCAGAAGCTTAAAGAAACCCAGAGCAAGTACGAGGAGGCGATGAAAGAAGTCCTGAGTGTGCAGAAGCAGATGAAGCTGGGCCTCGTGTCGCCCGAGGGCGTGGATACTTCCTCCCACCTCCGGGAGCTGAGGCTCACCGAGGAGGAGGCCCGTGTGCTGAGGCAGGATCTCCAGAACGCCTTGGAAGAAAGCGAAAGAAATAAAGAGAAAGTGAGAGAGTTAGAGGAGAAGCTTGTAGAGAGGGAGAAAGGTGTGGTTCAGCCACCTGTCGACGAGTACGAGGAGATGAAGAGTTCCTATTGCTCTGTGATTGAGAATATGAACAAGGAGAAGGCATTTTTGTTCGAGAAGTACCAAGAGGCCCAAGAAGAAATCATGAAGTTAAAGGAGACGCTAAAAATTCAGATGACACAGGAGGCCGGTGACGACACTGGGGACATGAAAGAGGCCATGAACAGGATGATCGATGAGCTCAACAAACAGGTCAGCGAGCTGTCCCAGCTGTACAAAGAAGCCCAGGCCGAGCTGGAGGATTACCGGAAGAGGAAGTCTCTCGAAGACGTGACAGCTGAATATGTCCCTAAGGCAGAGCATGAGAAACTGATGCAGGTCACCAATGTGTCCCGGGCCAAGGCCGAGGAGGCCCTGTCTGAAATGAAGGCTCAGTATTCGAAAGTGTTGAATGAGCTGACTCAGCTCAAACAGCTGGTGGATGCCCAGAAGGAGAACTCTGTCTCCATCACGGAGCACCTGCAGGTGATCACCACGCTGCGCACCACCGCCAAAGAGATGGAGGGGAAGATCGGCAGTCTTAAAGAGCACCTCGCCAGCAAGGACGCGGAGGTGGCCAGACTGGAGAAGCAGCTTCTGGAGGAGAAGGCTGCCGTGACCGAGGGGATGGTGCCCAGGTCTGCCTATGAGAAGCTCCAGTCATCGTTAGAAAGTGAAGTGAGTGCGTTAGCATCCAGATTAAAGGATTCTGTCAAAGAGAAAGAGAAGGCCCATGCAGAGGTTGCCCAGATTAGAAGTGAGGTCTCACAAATGAAAAGGGAAAGGGAAACTATTCAGATGCTCTTGAAGTCCAAAGAGCAAGAAGTAAATGAACTTCTGCAAAAATGCCAGCATGCTCAGGAGGAGTTGGCAGAAATGAAGAGGTACTCGGAGAGCTCTTCGAAGCTGGAGGAGGATAAAGACAAGAAGGTTGGTGAGACCTCTTGCTGTTGACATCTAGCTAGTGGTCCCTCGGACCTCCAGCCGTCGCTGTAGGTAACATTTCAAGCATCTGTCACACTAACGTGTTGGGCATGCTCAGAGGCTCAGCACACGAATCCCTCTGTCCCCGAAGCCCCATTAGAATGGTAGGTCAGACGTTTATTTAAAAGAAAAACACTTCCCTATCCTAAAGCATTTCCACATATGTGGTGCATATTTTTTCTTGAAAAATTATTCTACAGAAGCTCTGCCAAGTGTCAGGGATCAGAAGGAAACCCACAAACTGAAAAGCGTTTCTGACCGATCGTGAACTTGAACTCTTGGATCTCAGACAGATTCCTCTGTCATATGGGAACCCAAATACTTCCAGACTTAATCCTGTTTCCCTAAGCCCCATAGGCTTTCCCCAGCCGGTATTAAAAACGGCCCTTCCTGGCCCTCATTTTCAAAGGTGTATAGGGGTGTGTGTGTTGAGGGGGTGATTAGAGAGGGGCTGGGTGTGGCAGGAGGAGAGGGGGAGTGGAGGGTAGGTCTGTGCCCAAATCTGCTCTGCATCCCAGTCTCCTGGTCCTGTGTTTTGAGTGGCATACACTAGGGCACTGTTGATCATTTATTTCTTTGTTATAATGAATGCATCAAAAGGGTTCCAGAGCCAAGGGGGGAGGGGTGGGTGGGAGGTGGGCTAGGGAGTTGTGTTTACTTTACAGCAAGATGTCCAGATAGCTCAGGGTTTCTAGAACTTATTCCTGATAGCCCATGTCAGCAATATTGAGCGAGACACAGCTGTTTCCAAATAAAGAATGCCTACAATTCTGTTTCTGTTAAGAAAATAAAGGAGGGGAGGGAGGTCAGTGTCATAACTTTTGTTACCTTCGTGCATTAAAGCACAGTGTTTAATCTGGGGCCCTTATTTGAATATAATGGATTTAGAAGTCTTTGTTGGTTTGTCTGATTTTGTCCTGTGTTTCATTTTATGCGTTTTCATTCCCAAGTCTCACGTTCAGGAGATTAACCGAGGCTGTGTTCAAAGTTTAGGAATACCTGGAATTTTGCTTCTGCAGGCCTGGTCTTGCCAGCTGGTAACAGTGTTCCTGTCTCACTAGATAAACGAGATGTCGAAGGAAGTCACCAAGTTGAAGGAGGCCCTGAACAGCCTCTCGCAGCTGTCCTACTCAGCGAGCTCCTCCAAGAGGCAGAGCCAGCAGCTGGACGGGCTGCAGCAGCAGGTCAAGCAGCTCCAGACCCAGCTTGCTGTGAGTGGGTTTGCTCCCCGGCCGGCTGTGAGGTGCAGGGCCAGGCAGACAGACTGCATGCCCGCCCTGCTGGTAGGGCAGGTGGGAGGGAGTGGAGGCCCAGCCTAAAGGGCTGTGTACTTCAGTGAGCAACTCACTAGGGACTTGGTGGGGGCAAAAGAAGGAACTAGTGGAATTTCCAGTCATTATCTGCCGTGAGCTGGGGAGGGGCAGGGGGGTGTCTCTGAGAAGGAGGAATGGGCGGGACAGTGGAGTAGGCTCCTTGTTCATCCATCCACTGACTTCTCACTCCATTTTTCTGCAACAGTCGAAACCCTCTCTGACAGTGGCAATAACTTTTTCTTGCCGTGGGCCAGGATCTCTGGTGGTTGCGTCTGGACAGGGCTGAAGCTGTTCCTTGGCCCCGCCCCTTCTTCACCCAGGAAGTCCTCTCTTGTTGGTGTCAGTGTCCTATGAGTGTTGCACAGAGCAGCACGAACTTGGCTTGAAACAGCACGGATTTATTATCTTCAAGTTCTGGAGGTCATCAGTCTTGCTAGATGAAGGTCAACATGTCAGCAGGGCGGTCCCTCTAGCGGCTCTCGGGGAGTCCATCCCCTTGTCTTTTCCAGCTTTCAGAGGTCACGCGGATTCCTTGGCTTGTGGCCCCTACCTCCGTCTTCACAGTCCAACACTTCAAACTGCTTCTTTCCACCTTTTGACCTTGCGCTCTCCTTTGAGGACCCTTGTGATTACTTTTAAGGTGGACGCAGAGGATCAGGATAATCTTTCTCTTCCTCTCGCAATCCTTAGTCACACTTGAAAGGTCCCTTTGCCATAGGCAACATTCACAGGTTCTGGGGATTGGGGTGTGGACATCTTTGGAGGGCCATTATTTAATTACTGAAATATCGGTTAAGGTTTGAGTTGACAAGGGTATGTATTTTCCATGTGAACTCAAGGGTTAGTTTGTCCTGTGCCATCTCTGGCTTCCATTCACAAACAGGACCTGGATTTCATGATTTCTTCAGTACAGACTTGATACTGTGAGTTCTGGTTTCTGTGGTCCTGACTCTGGCTGTCCACCAAGTCCAAAACCAGCGGTTTTGTGTTCCCCGCTGTAGCAGTGGATTAATCAGGGGAGAAGAAGATGCTTCCTACTGTGTTCTGCAGGTCATTCTTCTGATGAAGTGGTTATCACACAGACTTGTAGATAAAGTGCTGATGGTTTAGACATCATTCTTACAGTGACTCATCGTGTGTTTAATGAGTTCTTCCATGTCAGTATTGTCCAAGGTGCTGATGATATAACAGTGCATAGGACACAGTCCCTGCCTTCACAGAACTTATACATGATATGATGGCTTACCATATTCTGGATGTGGTGGGCATTCATTCATTGAGGACGCCTGCCCAGCATGCTGTGGGCAGACAGGAAATGAGCGCTTACCCAGTCTGAGTGAGTCTCGAAAGGCTTCCTGCAGGAGGTAAAGCTTGTGCTGAATCTCGAAGCGATGAGTAGGAGGCAGCAAGGACTGAGATGTGGCATTTAGATGGCCCTGGGTGGCCTTGGCGAGAACAGTTCACGTGGCCTGACAGCAGGTCTGCACTGCAGTCGGCTGTGTGCTGGGGAAGCGAGTACATAGGGGGGTATCTGACGGGGCGGAAATGTCCCTGCAGGAGCCAGGGGAGGAGCCTAAGGGAGGTTTGCTAGAAAGCTCGGAGACGGTGGCCCTGGCCGGTTTGGCTCAGAGGTTAGAGTGTTGGTCCACAGACCAAAGAGTCATGGGTTTGATTCCCGGTCAAGGGCACATAACTCGGTTGTGGGTTTGGTCCCCGGTCCTGGTTGGGGTTGTATGGGAGGCAACCAATCGATGTGTCTCTATCACATCAATGTTTCTCTCTTTTCCTCTCCCTCCTTCACACTCTACCCAAAAAACAAACAAAAAAATCAATGGAAAAACATCCTTGGGTGAGGATTTTTTTTAAAATAGGAAGACAGGAGATGGTGGTCAGAGGGTGGGATGCTCTTGGCGAGATGTCAGAGGCAGTGACAGAGGCAGGGCCAGGACCTGGAGGAGGCAGTGGCTGGAAGGAGGAAAGTTCGCTGGGGCTGAGGCGCTGAGGCCACGGTGCTCGGCGGCTCATCCGTGTGATGGTGCAGACAGCCCACTGATGGCAGAAGCCGGGACGGACAGGAAGGCAGTGACCAGCAGGTGGTAGTCATCAGTGACTGAGTGGAGGTAACCAACAGGTAGGAGGAGGGAACGCAGGGAGAGGTACTGGCGCACCTACTAATGGCGCCTTCTCACGGTGACCTTCAAAGGACTGAGGTGCTAAGGGTTGTCCTTGAGTAGAAAGGACATCTCATATTCTGACACTGATGGGAAGGAGGCGACTAGGGGTATGGGAGGACTTTTACAGATTTTTGAAGTGATCCATATGATAGTCTTAATTTTCATCATAAAATAGGAGGAAAGACCTCTTAGAAGAGTTACGAGCTAAGATCCTTGAAATAGGCAGGGAGAGGAATTGGAATAATAGCTCAAAGGAGACGCAGAAGCAGTAGCAGCTGCACCGAGGAGCCGTTGAGATTGGTGCCGCCTCTCTGTCGCCTCCTGGGTTCCCGGACACTAAACACATGCGCTTCCCCGGAATTGTATGGCTCAGGCTGTGTCGTGAGTGATCAGTAACTCTCTTTAGAAGAATCGGTTTTTAAATTTAATTAGTAACTATTTGGTCATTGTAGAAAAGTTGGAAAATACAGAAAACTCTGAAAAAGTTTTTAAAAATAAATTGCTGATAATCACTCAGAGACCATCACATTTTGCATTTGATATATTTCCTTGCACTATTTACATTTTGTGACTGTATCTGTGTGTTTGCCTAAAGTACGTATACGTAAATGTATTTACAACAAATTTGGGATTATAATAACTACTGTTTACATGAATTTTCTTCTAGAGTTGACATGCCAAAGTAGGAAATAGGTAGATTTGCCCCCGGCCCCCCAAGAATATTGATAAGATTCAGAAATGCACGAACCAGTGAGCTCACAACAATTTTAAAAGCTTCCTATGTGGGCAAGAGGGGATCACTTGGTGATCACAGCTTTCTTGTAGTTTGTGGGTTTTGTTTCTTAAAGCTCTGTAACAAGGTCAGATTGTCTCTCTCCAGGAATGCAAGAAACAGCACCAGGAGGTCATATCGGTTTACAGGATGCATCTTCTGTATGCTGTGCAGGTATGGCGACGCCCCGCGGGGGACTCTGGGTGTCCTGAAGAAGTCCTGCACTTGATGTTGCCCAGAGTCCTGTTACCAAACTAGTGGAACGAATGGGAATTTGAGGAGAACCCTGTGCCTTGGGAAGCTTTCCCGTGCCTCTCGCTTTGCTTTGGGTTTTGTGTTGGGAGCCCCCTGCCCTATTTATTGCCAAGAGCAGTCTCATTTGGTGAGAAATGAAGGAGGAGCCCAGCAGGCTCAGTGATTGAGCATCAACCCATGCGCCAAGAGGTCACCAGTTTGATTCCCGGTCAGGGCACATGCCCAGGCTGTGGGCCAAATCCCCAGTGGGGGTCATGCAGGAGGCGGCCAATTGATGTTCTCTCTCTCCCTCTCACTTCCTCTCTCTAGTATCAATAAAGGAAAAAGAGAGAGAGAAATGAAGGAGGAGGTGGCTGCTGCTGCTTCCCCACCCCATCAGAATCGGGAGCCCGGGCTTTATTTTCTAGGCCTGCCTGTATTTTCAGAGCCACCAGCACTGTCCGCCCTGTGACTGTCAGGGTTTGGGCTCGCTGGGCTCATATTTGCAACTGAGACCCCAGAAACACTTTGCTGGGGCTCTGGTAGACTCAGCCTCGCTATCCCCCAGGGGGGCAGGGCGGGCCCCCCTGACACAGGTCCTAGTAGAAATGGGAATTGCTGGGGCTAACATTCCTTTGGCAGATCGGGGGCCAAGGGCTCCATCCCAGCCAGCATCTCATTTCCTCAGGGAGACAGTGCCAGGCCTTCACTTAGGTTCTGATGAATGTCTTCTGTTTGAACTTGCTAGGGCCAGATGGATGAAGATGTCCAGAAAGTACTGAAACAAATCCTTACCATGTGTAAAAACCAGTCCCAGAAGAAGTGAAGTGGGTTCCTTGGCAGGACACTGCCCCTCGTTCATGTCTGTCAGAGCTGGAGCTGTTGGCGACCACTGCCATTGTTCTCATTGTTCTCCTCCGTGCTGTGCACCGTGACCTAGCCTCGCTGCCTCCCTCTCCCAAGGCTCCTTCCTGAGGACTGGGCCCAGAGGAGACCACCCCCCTCGGAACTGCTCAGAGACTTGAAAGCAGCGGAGGTGAAAGGCGCTGTCATCGCTTCTGATGCCAGAGCTGGGATCAGCCGTGCCCGGGGGCTGGCCCTGGTGCTGGGGAGCAGGCACCCTCTCGGTGCCTACCAGCTGTGTGGCTTTGCCATCGCTGAGTGATCTGTGGACACCTCCATGTGGTCAGCGCAGCTCCAGTCCCTGCACTCTGGCCGTGGGTTCTGCCCAGGAGGGCTGTGTTCCCTTTGCCTTCCAGCCCGCAAACACGATTTGACTTCTCACCAGTCCCTGCGGCGCTGGTTGCGCAGCACAACTGAGACCTTTATCGGGATGTCCTGTGGATTTGAAAACTCAGCCCACTTCTCCCCACCTGCCTTATTGAGAGTTCATCACCAGCTTGTCGATCTTAGTTGGATGAGCGAGCACCATTCACTAAAAGAGGAAGCTCAAAAACAAAAGCAAACTGCCCTTAAAAGTTTTTAAGTGAATCCTTGACGAATTGCAAATTTTCTATGCAAACTTGCCTTCTGCCGCGACCCGCGAAGCTCAGGAAATCCAAACATTTGTGTTTCAACAAGGGACGGTAAACTGAATGTTTACAGCCAAAAGAAATGCCTCAGAGTTCTGGACCTCAGTTTTTTAAAAGTGTTTTTTTTTTTTTCTCTACGATATTTTTATTGGCTCTTAAAGATGTTTTCCTATCTAAACCCCTGAAGTAAGTGAAATTTACATTAGACTATATTAACAAAATATTTTTTAGGTAACCATGCTTAAGACTTTTTAAAAATAGGACTTTTTCCTCCAAGTTTTCAGCTATAGCAAAAGGTAGTTATGTATTCTCATTCGAATATGAGCTACCAGGCTCCCTCGAGTTTCTGCCACTACGTCCTCAGAACTATAGCACATTTCTTAATGTAGCTAATACTCTTTTTACCCAGCGAGTAATCTTGAAAGCCTCGCTCTACCAGAACCCATAAATGATCTCTGGAAGAACTGTTAATAACAGTTTTTCAACTTTGAAACTAAAAATCCCAATACGGTAAACATTATGGTGCATAGCAAAGGTCTTAGGGGAAAATACTTCTGTTCACTTTACTTTCAGGTGAAAAATGTTTCTGACTTGCTGGCAACTTCCCTCAGAGCATTGATCTTCCTGAGGGATGTAAACAGAACACAAATCTGCAAAGTATATAATTAAGTGTAGGCCTGCTCTGACAGGGCCCGCGGACCGCAGGGCTGCCTGGGCTCAGAGGGAGCTTGGCTGTGTTGGATGACGACCAACGACAGCAAAGCAAAAACAGCTTTCAAGCTTGGTGTTACTTTTCTTACGTTGTTTATAGTTAAGTAATTTCAAAAATGCTCCAAAGAAATGTGAAAGGACTTTTTGTCACTGCACTTATTAAGAAAATACAAAACAACCCCCTCCCGCTCCCGCACAGCAATGCTGCAGAGTATAAAACTTGAGAAATTTTGTAGGATGCTTGACAAAGTGTAGCCTTTTATCTTGTTTCAGGATGCGTATTTATTACAAGTACTCTGGTTAAATATTGAAACGTTATATGCTGTAGTTTAGTGTTTTGCCTTTGTATAATTTACAGAAGGTATGGCAGAAAATAAACTTTTGTTTCATTTTGCATCTCTGTTGTTGCTTTTTGTTGCTACTCCAAACCGTGGGTTTATCGGTCCACAGGCAACAGCTACTTTTTTGAGTGATCCGAGACCTTCTATGTCTAAATGTACACGTATACATGTATTTTACTTTCCCCTTTACATATATGAGCATACTTTATACACTCTTCTGGACCATAGTTTTTTCACTTAAAATGTCATGGAGATTGTTCTTTGCAAACACATACACCTCATTCTTTTTCATGGTTGCATAATATTTCATAGTATGATTGTGCTATATTTTATTTAACTCATTTCTCGTCAGTGGGCACTTAATCTGCTTCCATATTTTATAGCCCCAACGATGATGTGAAGGCTTCCCTAGCTATGAATGTCTATGCGAGTGCGCGAGGATTGTCTGGATCACTTTCAAATCGCCCATTTTCACCCTCGCTCACATGTGATACAGGAATGCAGAGAAAAAAGGGAATAGAATAGTGTATGCATCATTGCAGTGAGTGAGAAAGAAGGGCCCTGTTCTTCACATTGGTTAAGAGTCATCCATTTGTTTTCCTTACATAAACGTAAGACAGACCCCAAAGCTTTTAATAATTAACTCCACCCATCCTAGGATAAACACATGATGTACTGTGTGGGGAAAATGCTGCCCGAACATGTTAAAGCACAACCTTTTGCAACGTGATACAACTGTGGCATTTCGGGTGCTGACAGCGGCAGAAACGCTCTGCAGCAAAGACGGGCTGATGCTCTCTGAGCCAAGTTAGCAGGAAGACTGCAGGGCAGAGTGAGCTGGATAAAGCAACAGACCCAGGCGCCCAGAGTAGCAATTTCTGTCCAACAAGAGCAGAGAACTGTCAAGCACCGTGGGAGTGTGGGGCATATTTGTGTAAGGACAAGAGCTCAGCTCTGATGGTCACCGTAAGTGGGCCGTAGGAGCTGGTCGAGGGAGCAGTGGATGTGGGTTCCAGCAGGTGGAAAGCTCTGAGAAGTCAGTCCTCAAGAGATGGGGTGAGTGAAGGAGAAGAAGAGACATTCCCGCACTTTCACTGTAAATCGGGCCCTAAAATGGGAAGAAGCAGTATAAGCAAGAACTGTGATTGGATGTACTTGACTATAAATGGAGGATGTGTAGGGGAGAGAAAGGAGCAGGCCAGCCAAATAGTATACGATTTTAATAGGGGAGGAGAGGTAGGAAGGGTACCCTATGTGTCGCCTCCAGATATTTTAAACCTATGCCGTTGAAGTCAGGTTAAGCACCCTGGAAGGCAGAGTAACACCCTCCCTCCCCAAGAAATCCACGTCCCGATTCCCAGAATCTGAATATTTTATGTTATATGGCAAATGAGAATTAAGTTTGCAGGTAGAATTAAGGTTCTTAATCAGCTGACCTTAAAATAAGAATATCCTGGGTAATGCAGGTGGGCTGGATGTAATTAGGAGGGTGTTTTAAAAAGTGGAAGTATTATCATCATCATTGGCCAGTAATTAATAATAGGAAGAAAGCAAAAGGGAGGCCAGACATAAGCATGGTCATCTGGGCAGCTTCAGCCAGGACGCTGCAATTTCATGCTCCCCAGGGAACCACTAGTCCATTCCCTGCAGATCACTGGGGGAAGGGGACCACCAAAGGGGGAGATGGGTGTATACCCAGTGAAGTCAGGGTGACATAGGGAAGGTGCCTGTCTTTCAGTCTAACCTGGGGAAAGAATTGGCCAGGAGGGCGGAGCCTTGCAAGTGCATGAAACCCTGAAAGATTCATTCGTTAAGCTACCAGTTCAAATCCCCAGACACAGAAACTTTCTCTTGCCTGCCCCCCTGCCCCTCCCCTTTGCACACTTGCTCCAGCCTTGAGCAGCCCCCACAGGCAATGCACTGCAGCTGGGAACACAAGCCAAGCTGGCCGGATGCTGGGCTGGACTGTGCTTTAACATGGAGCAGAAACTCCAGGCCGTGGCTTTAATTCTAGCCCTGCTGAAGACTAGCCGGGACCTTTTCCATGGCGAGACAGAGGGAGATGGGACCTTGAAAACCCAGGGCTTTAATTCCACATAAATAAATATTACTTATTCTCCTATGTGAGTCTCATAAAATTCCTTTTCTTGTGACATCGCAAGAATTCCACTTCCACTGGCAGCAGGTGGGGAGCAGAGGATACCCCACCGATAACAGAAGGAGTCAGTTTTAAAGCAGCTACACTGCTGACTCTGAAGACCAAGAGGAGGCCAGGAACCAAGGAAAGCAGGTGGTCCCAGAAGCTGGAGAAGGCAAGCAAACAAAATTCTCCCCCAGAGCCTCTCGAAAGAACCAGTCTTGTCTCTAACCCGGTGACAGCCACTGCAGACTTCTGACCTCCAGATAGGAGATAATGAATTTGTGTTGTTTTAAGTCACTAAGTTGGTGGTGCATGTTAAAGCAGCAATAAGAAACTGGTAGACACACCAAGAATCTCTACTAACAGGGAGTTCTGAAGGTGCAGGTGAGCATGCACCATAAGCCAGGCACTGCTGAATGCAAAGGCTTGATGGTGAATATACATACAGCCCTGCTCACAAAAAGCTCACAGGTGGCCAGACAGGGCCTGCCACCTGGTAGGTATTCCGCATTCACTGGGTGGGCGGGTGAATTGCCTGCTCTTTGCTAGTCCATTCTCTTCTCTCTTCATTCTTTTTTATTATTGATATTTTCCTTTTTTGTTGTTGTTGACACTACTAGATATCTCCCATTTCCTCCCTTTGCTCACCTCCACTCAGCCCCCACCCCCCACCCCAGGCCTTCACCCCACTGTTGTCTGAGTCCATGGGCTCTGCCTATATGCTCTTTGGCTAATCTCTTCACCTTCTTTCATCCAGTCCCCTCACCCCCTTCCCCTCTGACATCTGTTAGTCTGATCCAGATATCTATGCCTCTGCACCTATTTTGTTCATCAGTTTATTTTGTTCATTAGATTTCACATATAAGTGAGATCATATGGTATTTGTTTTTCTCTGACTGGTATTTTGCTTAGCATAATAATCTCCAGGTTCCTCCATGCTCTTGCGAGAGGTAAGAGTCCCTTTCTTTTTACAGCCACATAGTATTCCCTTATGTAAATGTAAAACAGCTTTTTTATCCACTCATCTGCTGATGGGCACTTGGACAATTGCTCTTTTGCTATTCCTTGAACCCATTCAACTTGCTCCTTCTTCAGGGCTTTTGCACTTGCTGTTAACATTTTGAAATGCTCTTCTAGACATCCTGATTCGCTTCCTAATTTCCCTGAGGTCTCTGCTCAGTGCCGCCTTGTCAGAGGCCCTCCCTAACTACACCGTAGAAGGTAGACACCCCTCCCCTCTTGCCCTCATCATTTTCCAGATCCCTCCCCTGGCCTTATGTTCTCCATATAATTTGTGATTTCCACATATGTAAGTGGCTCACCTGGATGAGGGAGGGAGTAATGAAATCCAGCCTACCCTCTGTTCCCAAAGCTGTACCCTTAGCAGGAGCCCTAATCTGGCTGGAGAAAGGTATTTTCCTAGTTCACACAAAGTTTCTGCCTAGTCTCTAAGCGTGTGCTTTTTTCTAACTTGCAGAGATACATTGTTTTGTGGCAGCACTATGTTTTTCCCCCTGGTAGAACACGCAGCTCTGGGAGAGCAAGATCTTTGCCTGTGTTCACAGTTGCTTCCCTAATGCTTAGCAGTATTGAGCCCATGGTAGACTGAATAGGTGTTTTTGTCTGGGTGGATGGCAGGTGCATGGAGGGGGAGAAACAAGCAAGCAGAGAGTGCCCATATAGTTGTATCATGATGAGACTGTGGACAGGATACTGTGGGAGCTCGAAGATAAGGCTTCCAACTGTTGGAGAAGGTCGTCAAGAAAACATGACTACTAGTGTGACCCGAGAGCTGTAGCTGGGCCAACGAGGCTACCCTCTCTCCCCGCCCTGTGCTTTGGAATGTGCACAGCACTTCCCTTTCCTGCTCCCAGACGCTGCTCCAGGGACACAGCCTTGAGAGATAAATGTAGTGATAAGAATAATCTGAACTGGGTATATGACTAAACCTTCTTAAGGCTTCCTGTGCATGGGACTGAACCCAGGTAAAGCATCTATATAAACTTTTAAGATTTGGCTGGTGGGTGCAGAAATCTGGTCTTGCAGGTACCCAAGACAAGCCTCTTAATAAGTTCCCTTGCTTATAAACCTACCTGCCACCTACAATCTGGAGTGATCTGCCTTTTTTCTTTGGTCTCTCCCTGCCCTTCCGTATGGGGGCTGGTTTCAGATTATACCCAGGAAGCTCCCAAGGAGGTTTGAACCTAACACTAATCCTGTCTTGAGAAACCAGAAAATGTGTTTGACAAATTACACAGTGGAAGAGAAAGTTTCTTTGGATTTCCTTGTTCTTTTTCACAGTTCCTGGAGTTGGCATAATTTGGAGATAATCCTGTTTGATTTGAGTTGGAAGAGTCTAGAAGTACCCTCTACACATGCTTCCTCGATGTGACTTTTGCAGTGGTAATGCTTGCCCCTACCACCTCGGGATCAAGGGAGAGACTGTGACTGAACTTACTAGAACACCATCATCCACTTAGGTTGCTAGCATCCCACTCCAGAGTTAGAGAACTCACCAAAGCACATTTACTATAACTAAGGTTTACACCTGGGGACAGGGTTAAGACGGCAAGGAAAGAAAAAATCAGAGGTTTAGACCTCTAAGAGCCTTTAAAGTTCTTGTAATTTGATTGCTAATTTTCCTGCTGCGGGCAGGTGCTGGTGGTCAGAGCTGGTTAAATGGAGATGGAACGAGAGCATGCAAGAGCTTTAGGAGCGGGCATTCAGTGCCTGTCCTGGTACTAGATTCCCTTCAGTGATCACACACAGCATTCAGGAAAGCCCAGCTGCAGTGAGAAAGCAGCCTCAGCCATTTCCTGGAATGACAGAACATTAAAACGTTTCAATTTGATGAAGGTCAGCTTAACAAG